GAGTGGCTTGGATCTCACAGAGATCTACCTGCCTCTGCCTCTCAGGTGCTGGGATTAAAGGTATGTGTCATCTTGCCAGCTAGTTATATTTTGATGATTAAATTTAGTATAATCAAAACATCATTTTATGTTTCTAAAGTTGTACGGACAAAATGTCTTTAAATACTTGGGTGGGTGTGGTGGCACAGGCCTTTAATCAAAGCAATCAGGAGGCAGAGGCAGAAGCAGGCAGATCTCCATAAGATGGAGGCCAGCCTGGTCTACAAAGCAAGTTCCAGGCCAGTTGAGGCTACAGGGAGATCCTATTTCAGATAAACAAAAACCATCATTGTATGTAAATATAACATGAAAAACAATCAAATGAAAGTACTTTGTCATATTTTTATTCTATACAGAAGTTTTGACTTAGTGTGTATACTTTTTTTTTGGTTTTGTTTTTCTTAATTATCTTAGGGGTTAAATCTCAATGGACTCAGTTCTTCTAAACGTGAGAAGTAACATCTGTCCTTTCTCATCAGTTCATCCTTGAAAGTCAAACTCTACAAAATAATCTGAAGTAGCCTTTTTCTTTCTTTTTTTGCATGTGGTGTGTATGTGTGTGTGCAGGTGTGATTGCTCAAGTATGTGGATATAAGAGATCAACTTGGGTATTTTCTTCTATCGCTGAACACCTTATCTTTTTGAGGCAGGGTCTCTCATAGAATATGGAACTCACAGGCTTGGCTAGGGTGACTAGCAGTGAGCCCAGGGAGCCACCTGTTTGCTCTCTCCCAGCGCTGGGGTTACAGGCATAGGACCCCATGCCTAGTTGTTTGGTGAGTGCTGGGGATCCAAACTCACGTCCTTATTTTTGAGCAGCAAGCACTCTACCCACCAGCTCTTAATTGTTAAATGTACTCTAAAGCATTTAAACCTTTAATGATCAGAAATAATCTCAAAGGGACATGAGAAGAACTAGGAAAAATCGGCATGAAAACAATAACTAGATTAGTGAGTAGTTTAGATGTGGTTGAGAGAAAGGAGGCAGTCAAAACTAGTAATGAGCTGTAGCTAAGAAAATGATTTTAAGGTTTCTGTGTCATTGAAAAGTCAGCCTAAGAGAGTTAGGGAAGGATAATATTGTACCTTCCCTTCAAGATGTGGAGTTCTTTCTTGAATACAGCATAATTTTGATTTCTAATGTTAATGTTTTTTGACACGTTAACATTAAGCAGTAATAAAAGCCACTCTAGCAATTTGCAATTTCCATCATTTTTTTGAAAGGTTATTGTTTACACACAATCACTTTTCCCACATTTTTCCATTTAAAGGACAAAGGGAATAAAAAAAACAACTCACCCCCAACAAACCCTCATGGCAAGGCTGCACATGCCACATAGCCTGTAAGTACAGTCAGGTTCTTCAGTTGCTAATCTACTGCAGTATTTTAAGTTTCATCAATTACTAGATCTGGTGATGAACTAATGATGCAATTTACACCCTTCCTGTCTCATAAATAAATATCCTAGCCATCTTTTGTGAATCTACACACTTAAACTTAATTGTTCTAGGAAACCGTTAAAGACTTTTATCTTGGAGTGGAATGTGCATGTAGGCTCAGGGAATTTTTATATGATCCTTGGCTCTTTTCCCACAGAACCAAAAGGATAAATGGATAAAGTAATGCTGGACTGAAAAGATCTTGAGAAATGGCATTCAGATGCTTCTATTTTAAAACAATGAAGCAGCTTTTAAAATATAAAAAGTATCTGCAATCTTGCTTTCAAGCCAACTAGCATTAGTGGAATCAAGGCTGGTTAAAAAATTTGGAATACTGGTTTGTTATGAAAAAATAATTTTAGGAAGGAGAGCCACACTGTTCTGAATTTCTCTCCTTTGGTTCTCCCTATACGCCAATCTTCTAAATGTCTTAAGTCACATAGCTGAAAGGATTTTGCTCATTTTTTCCAAAACATTTCACATCTGGACAGTGGCCAACCATGGAAAGTTTCAAGCAAATTTAGAAGAGGGATGAAGCTCGTCAGGGCAGCTCGGCACAACCAACGCCTTCAGAGGAGCTGCCACATTCCTTCATCACGTAGTTTGGGGGCAAGTAGTAAGCGTGGACCAGCCAAACTCCGACCCGCCGGCTTCCCTCCAGCCTGGCCAAGTCTGCCGACTGCCCAGCCCTGGGCTGGACGGGGGTCACCACTGCGGCCTCCTCCATAGCTCGAGGACGCGCGTCCCCGAAGGGGCCCACCTGTCCTCTAAACCGCCTGACTCCGGAACACTCAGACCCCACCTAGCGTGGCCTGCAGCGAGGGGTGACTCCGGGGCGAGGCTGGCAGCACCGCCACCCAAGTCAGTCGACTCCTCTCCCCGCCTACCCAGCCCCGCGGGACTGCGCACGGGGCGCCGAGACCAATTTGACTGCTTCCTTCGCCAATCAGGAGAGAGGTCGCCGGGCTAAGCCAATGGAAGCGTGTGCAGGGGGCGGGCCTTTGGCGTCCTCCCGCCCCGGCTGGGTGAGCGCGGAATGTCTCCAGCCCTCCCCGGCGCGTCCACCTCAGTGCGGAGCTCCGGCGGCGTGAGAAGCAGTGGCCACCGGCAGCCTCGGGAGCAGCGGTGGTGGGAACAGCGGAGCCGGAGCCACACCCCAGCTCCGACCTTTCCTCTCTGCAGTCCTCTGCCGTCTTGCGGGAGGTCTTTCCGGGAGGAGAGCGGCCGCCCACGTCCCGAGCATCCTCCTCTGACGAGCGGGCGCCGGCCGACTCGGCGGCATGATGAGGCTGCGAGGCTCGGCGATGCTGCGGGAGCTGCTCCTGAGGCCGCCCGCCGCGGTCGGCGCGGCCCTGCGGCGCTCGCAGCCCCTCGGCACGCTGTGTCGGCGCCCCGCGGGCCCGGTGATCGCCGCGCGGCTCCACCCGTGGTGGGGCGGGGGTGGCCGGGCCACGGGCCCCGGTGCGGGCGGCCTGTCTAGCTCGCCCTCGGAGATCCTACAGGAGCTGGGAAAGGGAGGCACGCCGCCGCAGCAGCAGCAGCAGCAGCAGCCCGGGGCGTCGCCGTCCGCAACCCCGCCGGCGCCCGGCCCCAAGGACAGTCCCGGGGAGACGGACGCGTTCGGCAACAGCGAGGGCAAAGAGCTGGTGGCCGCGGGCGACAAGTGAGTGTGCGGGCGGGGCCGTGGAGGGCTCAGGGCCTGGGGGCGGTGGGCGGCGGCGGGGCGGGATGCGTGCCGGGGTTCGCGGAAGAGAAAGAAAGCGATGCCAGGCGGCCTGCGACGTCTGCGCCATGTGATTAGGCCCAGCCCCGCCCGCGCTCCGGCCCGCGCCCCTCCGCCTGCTCCCACTTCCCCTCGCGGGCGGGCGCGGGGCGTCCGGGGTGGAGTCCCCAGGGCCCCGCCTGCTGAGCCCCCTGCCCGCGGGAGGCTGCTGCTCCGCCGGTGCCGCGTGCTCCCGAGCTCAGCCCGCAGTCTGGCCGCCCGCCCGGTCTGCGAAGGTGATGGCACACCGATATCCGTCACGAGTGACATTTAGGGTTGGCGGCTGGATCTTCCCGACTTGCCTCCTTATTTAAAAAGAGGTGTTTCTCTTCTGCTTTCTCTTCGCCTCTGCCATCATCCCACTGCAAGGCAGATGTGGCAGAGGGTTCCTAATTCTTCAGGGGTGGATCCTTCAGGCTTGCCTAGGGCCATCTGGGGCACCGGAAATAATGCTTCAGAAAAGAAATTAGGAGGAATAGGGTCATGTGGCCTAGAGATGAACACGTAGCACAGACCACCTGTTCAATGCGGACCAGCTTTGGCCTGTCTGATGTCTTTCGTGAGATGGACAGATTTTTTAAAAACTAAAAGTCAAATAGGCAAAAATGAAAGGTGACATAAAATACTTAAGGGAAAAGTGGGTATGGGGACTTGTGAGAGGATGTTGGCTCATGGTTGTACCATGGGTATTTAGTCTCAATTGAATTTTCTTAAGTATGATAGTTTCCTGACTACCTTTGCGTAATATAAAGGGGCGAATTTAGTTTTCCCAAGTAGATAAACATTTACTTTTCTGCTTTTCCTATATCCTATTTTTCTGACTTTATACGGACATGGCCTGTCTTGTTTTTGCCTTTTACTCCTATTTCCAGTTCTGCACAGTAGCTTAAGTCAAACTGAAAGTGTGAGTCTCTTCATTTCAGTCTCAGGCCTGCTTAATGTTTCCTATAATTGAAGTTGAGACCTTCCTAAAACATTCCTACTTACTCCCCAAAGTGAAAATGCTATTTTTTAAAATTAATTTGTTTTTTGTAGACAAAACCACTTAGTGATGGGCAAAATTTGTGGTATTTTGCAATAATGACTTTGTACTACAAAATAGCCTAATGACTACAGACACATTATTGAATGTTGGATTAGATGACTCAAATCTCAAATGTTTCTTTAAAAACTAGACTTTTGTTAAATTCACATTGCTAATGTTTTAGGGAGTAGAGCATGTGGAATGTGTGTGCTCAATCACATGTGGGACTTACCTTCACATCATCTGGTTTGCCAGACAGGTAGCATAAAACACTGCTCAGACTTAACTGCAAAGTGCATTTATATTATGTAAAAGCTCCACTTACAGGATGCAGGGTAGGGCTATTTTCTATTAAAATTATGTTTAGTCCTGTGTTTTTTCCGTGTCCCTAATACCTGTTTTGTCAGATAGGATTTGTACTTTTGTGCTTTACCTGTTTTTTAGAAACTTCTGGTTTCATTGTCTTGTTAATAGGAAATCATCTCAGAATAGTAACTTTGCTACACTGTTTTGGCAAATGCCCCATCCAGTTCCCCCTCATCTTGCCCCCCAAAGGAAATCAGTTTAGGGACAGAATTCCTCAAGATTAGCTCAGATTCCTGGGGATTTTAAGTGCCAATAAGATAACCTTGTTTACCTTAGTTCAAGGGACTAGGTGCTGTGTGTGAGTGTTTGCACCAAAATTTAGATTCAACTAGGCAAGTACAGGACCAGTTCAGAAAAATGATAATCACGAGCATTTTCAGTCAAAGATTTGATTCATTCATTAATTTACAAATAAAGTGAGGTGGACTGCTTTCAAAGATGTGAAAGAAGCATTTATTTTAATTTATTAAAAGTTTCTACTCAATCAGATTTCCCTTTCTGACTTCTTCCATTTTGCCTTTATGTGACAAGCATTTCTCTTACTCTGAGGTGTCTACTCTGATTTGATAGTTATCCTGACTGCTCAGCTTCTTCAGTCTGTCTACCTGTTTTGCCAGCACCCACTTAGAATTGCCAGATTTTATAGCATTACTAAAAGAAAATAGCCACTATTTTATAAAAGGCTTAGAATATTGGGTGTTAAAAGGTACTTAACTTTATTCACTAAATTAGTTAAATTTCTTCATTTACCATAAAAAGCTATGGAAGGCATTGATCTTTGAATTTCAGATTTGTGACCATTTTTATTTTTATTTTCCAGAGAAAGTTCCTCTTGAAAGAAGCATGAAACTGATTTGTACAGTTTATTTTTTTTAAAGCATTTCTGGTAAATAAGGTCAGAATGAATTTAATGCCTAACCACTAGCTTTCATTAGTTTTTATGGTTGGGGTGTTGCTTCTCAATCTTGATTCTGATTTTATATTTTGCTAGCCTGTCTTAAATTGTAGAAATTGGAATATGAGCAATTTATCTGTATACTTACCCTTTTTACTACAAACAAGTAGAACTCTTTGAACCAATATCACCTTAGACTGTATCATCTTCACAAACCTTCAATCTGATTGGGTTAAGGATATGACTAACATCTTAACAAATAAGTAAAATGATCTTTGCTCAAGTTTTCCCTGTAGTGGTCTTACTTAGTTTTTTTTTTTTTTTTGTTTGTTTGTTTGTTTGTTTTTTTTAACCACTGTTTATTCCCTCATTAAAAAACCAAACTGCTTTGCTTACTTCTCTTCATTTTAAAAAGGTTGTTCTGCCGGGTGTGGTGGCGCACGCCTTTAATCCCAGCACTTGGGAGGCAGAGGCAGGTGGATCTTCTGTGAGTTCGAGGCGGGCCTGGTCTATAGAGTAGTTCCAGGCAGCTGGAGCTACAGGGGAGACCAAAAAAAAAAAAAGGTTGTTCTATCTGCTTTCCTGTCTCTTTTGGGGTTCATCACTATGTAAACCCTGAGTCTGAGGTCTTTGCTCCTTTTCCCACTGTCCCTTCTCAGCAGGCACGCCCTTTCTTTTAGTTTTGCTTCTCATCTTTGTCTCAGCTTTTAATTTAAGCTCTATTTTAAAATTTACATTGACTTGGAATGTAAAATTTGTATTGCCATATTCATCATGTTTTAATATTACATTTTATTTTATGTGTATGAGTATATTGCCTGCATGTATATAAGTGCACCCATGTTGTGCAGTGCCCACGAAGGTCAGAAGAGGGCATCAGATACCCTGGAACTGGAGTTAAGAATGGTTAGCTGGTCTTCTGCAAGAGCAGCCAGAGCTTCTAACTACTGAGGGAGAGCCACCTCTCCAACCCTCATCATTTTCTTTTCTAATTTAGTATGTTTTGCATCATGCTGTTGAAATTGAATTTAGAATTTTAATGTAGAATATGACTTTCAGAAAACCAGCATGGACTAGAATGAACACTATCAATTACAAATAAGTTTTGACATTCAAGAGCTTTGATTAACTTGCATGCTAGTATCTGCCTAACAGACTTTAAAAAATCAGATTTATATCTTCTATGTCAAGCATGATGTGCTTAATTTAAAATTTTTTCTAAAATTTTTTATGAATGTTTTGTTTGCATGTGTTTTAAGTGTGCAATGCCCGCAGAAGCCAGAAGAGGGCATCAGATCACCTAGAACTGGAGCTACCATGTGGGTTCTGGGAACCAAACCTGGGTCCTCTGCAAGAGCTGCTGGTGTTCTTAACTGCTGAGCCTCCTCTGCACCCTGACATGCTTAATTTCCCAAAAACCCGGAAATATCTTACAGTAGCCAGTGATTTCTTAGGGGCATGTGTAAGAACATTAAATTCCTTTGGTTTGGCTATTTTATTTTTTAATTAGGAAAAGGGATATGTAACAAAGGGATTAAGCTGATGAGATATTAGTATATGTGTACTTTTTTCAAAACAAGTAATTTATTTGGGTGTAATATGAAAATCAGTGAGACTGTTTTCCCCTGTCAAACTGGCAGGTTTTAAATCAGATGGTTCAAAAGGGGTAGGGAATAGGACTTCCTGCATTGCTGGCATAAAAATATGTTTGTTCACTATTTTGGAGGGCAGTTTGGAAGTTTTTAAAAGCTACATGTCCCTTATGCAGTAATTACATGTTTCTATATCTCTGGTGTTATACATTTAAAAAGTATCTTTTAAATTACACAGCCATATTTACTTAAATTCAAAAATAAAAATGCAAGCAAAGATGATTTCAGATAGTATGGCATTGTATTTTGTTAGTTCACAGTCTTAATAAATGGAATGTGAGGGGTACAGAAAATCATTCTCTTGTCTTCTATAAGAATCACATTTCAAAGTAAGATTTAATAACACAGTAAACAGTTCTGATACTGAAGCTCAGGCAGTATTTGGCAGATACAGATAATAGATTTTGGTATTGAATGGTAGAAACTTGAAATAGGTGGCAAATACTTTTATGATCCTTCTGAATTATGTTTACTTTAAATTTCTAAAGGTAAACATTAACAGTTCAGGGGCTGGAGAGAGATTATCAGTTAAGAAAAGAGCCTGTACTGTTCTTCCAGAGGACCGGAGTTTGGATCCTGGTACCCTAGTCTTTTCAGTCCTGTAGTTTTAATGACAAGTGGAAAAAGTGCCAATAGTCATGTCATAGTATTATTGCAGCCTAGTATTTACATTAGACCATATACATCTATTAGTCACTGGTAAACACATGATCTATAATTACCATTATTTTAAGTTCACTGAAAGCAGAAATTGAGTCCTGAGGTTTTAATCTCTTGAGTTTAGCTTCTTGCTTTCAGGCTTTGTTTTATTGAGAACTCTGCCATCCTCAAAATTCAGGGGATAACTTTCAAACAGAATTTAACCCTTTTGTTTCTTTGGTTTGAGATAGGATCTCATTATGAAGCCCCAGCTGGCTATGTATACCAGGCTGGCATTGATCTCACAGTGATTTTCCTGCCTTCA